GGCCACTGGGGCACTGGGCAGTGACTGCAGCGTGATAGGCCGGCGGCAGTAAAGAGCGAATGGATGCGATGCGACGTCGCGACGCGCGCGGACTGCGGCCACAAGTCAAGTCGGCGGCGCGGCCAGGCCGAAGGGCGGGGCGGGGCGGGGCTGCGGGTGACTGATGGCAGCGGCCGGGCAAACGGCCTTGCCCGCAGAGCGGCACTCTCTGACTGCAAGTTGGCCGATTAGGGCAAGGCGAAGCAGGGCGAGGCAAGGCGTCCGCGACCCCGGACCGCCAAGCCGCGAGAAACAGCCGTTTGGCGGCGGGGCGGCGCGGCCGGGCGCGGCCCACGGTCTCAGGCGATATAAGTCCGCGAACGTCGCCGAGAAGAAACAGAGAAGGAGGGATGTTTTTTCCGAACGCTATTGAAACGGCAAATTTCGACCGCAATGGGTGTTCCGGAGCCATCGCCTCATTTTCTGACTTAATGTTTCCTTTGACAACCAAAACAGCATTGCTTCGTATTATGCTTGCACCGAATTCACTGTAACATACGAGTAACATGGGTCAAATTTCACTGTTGGACATTTAGAGTTATCGCCAGTTTGGAAAATATTTTGCGGGGCGTAGGTGAGCAGCGGTTTTGGTCGAGATATCTTGCGCCTGAGTGCGCCTGGCTGGCCAGGCCAGGGCGAGCAGGGCGAGGCGCGGCGCGCAGGGCGGACCGCTGCAAGACGTATTTGCTTCTCTGCGAGCCATGTTTGTTCTCATCGTTTCGGAGTTGAGCACGGACGGTAAAAACGCTTTCTGGGAATCCCAGGAATCTCCAGGAAACTCCTATACCTTATAACATTGGGCTCCTGGGAATCCCGGGTTTCGTTCACTAGGGTAAATCCACTCTGAAATTTTCAGAGTTTCTGAGACTCTGACTTATTCCAGAGTTACAAGAGACTCTGAACCAGAGACTCACGAAATTCGCGCACCCCAGAGTTAAAAGGCCAGAGTGTAATCTAGAGTTCAGTGTCAGAGTGTTATCCAGAGTTTCTGATGTCAGAGTGTTATCCAGAGTCTGTTGTCAGGGTGCCAGCATTAAGTTTCAGAGTCTTAATAATGATAGAATATCTTGAACAGTGCTTGGTCTAGAACTGCCTTGGAAGTGTCCCTAGGGGCTAAAAATCGAGTCCGAGCCGAATCTGCAATCCATTTTTCGCTACCATCAAATGTACCTCAGCATACCGGGCCAATACTATCCGATCAGATTGAAATTAAAACTGTCCTAGTAAAATAGTCCATAGATGACACCTACCAATTTTCAATCAAAAATAACAAAAACTTCCCGAGTTATGGCTTCGTCAATTTGGAAATATCTAACTCTGAAACTCAGACGATGGCTCAAACTCTGAAACTGTGAACCGGACTCTGGAACTCTGGATTGAACACTTAACTCTAAAATCAAGGACTCCAAAACTCTGCAACTCTGACGCTGAACTCTAAAACTCTGAGCGTAAATCTGCAACTCTGACGCTGAACTCTGAAACTCTGAGCGTAACTCTGCAACTCTGACTTGAACTCTGAAACTCTGACCTGAACTCTGAAAGTCTGAGCAAAACTCTGCAACTCTGACAAAACTCTAAAAATCCAGAGTGGATTTACCCTAGTGTTTTTACCGTGCGGACGATGGCCGAGGCGCTGGAAATGAACCAAAATTGAGATGGGACGCGTTGCGCACGACGCCATTCTTCCACGCCAATTCCAGCCAACATCGACAATGAAACATGTTAAATTGTTTCAAGTTTCAAGTTCGGGGTTCAACTATCAGCCTTGGGGTGGCTTCACGTCCGTTAGTGGTGGCGCATTTTCGTACGGTTTTCATAAAGTCTTTTGGCAGCATTTTCCCCGAAGATGTTTGAAATATGTGGGGAGATTGTTGCGTTTTGAACGGCCTCCGCCCCGCCGGCCCTGGGAACGCTGGAGGCGGCGTGGACGACGTCGCCGCGGCCGCAGTGCCGTGGGCGCCGCTCCCGATGGACGGCGTGGGCGGCCGTTGGGCATCTGGCCAGCGATGGCCTCGAGACGGATCGGCCCGCATCGGCCCGGCCCGACAGCCCCGAGAGGAATTGTGTCAAAATGTAAAATGGATGATTGTTTGCCTCCGACGAAGGCCTGAGGCGCTTCACCGCCTCGGCTGGGGCTGTCCCCGGTGCCCCAGTGCCCCCAGTGGTCCGCAGTCGGTGCTTTCCGGGCGGCTCCGTCTTGGAGATGAAGGCCGTCGTGCAGGTGGCGGCAGCGCGGCCAGCGCGGCCAGCGGGCCGTGGAGCGCGCCATCCTGTGGGCCAACTTCCGGCCCCAATCCGTCCCGGCCGGTAGCGGGGCGGGGCGGGGCGCGGCGGGCTGGCATACGCATGCATATGACAGCCGTGGCGACGGCTCGCGCGCTGAAAATAGCGGCTGCCTGCATCCGCACCGCCCAGCGGCCGCATCGCCTCTGTGTGTGTGTGTGTGTGTGTGTGTGTGTGTGTGTGTGTGTGTGTGTGTGTGTGTGCGCGTGTGCGTTGTGCGGGCGCGCGAGTCGATGGACACGGTGGATTCGCTGGTCCAGAGGGCGTCGATGGGACGACGGAAATACCGCCTCGGCCGCCACGGGCGCCACGGTTGACTTTGAGCTAACCTCTTTGTCTGGCGCCGCCCGTTTGTTATTAAAACGGCCGCCGGGACCTCCGGCACTCTGCAACTCGATTAGGTCTGGTGGGACTCACTCGTTTCGTTCTGTGCGAAGCGGCCGAAGCGCGAAGCACGAAGCTCCCCGGCCAGTCGATTAAGCAAGCACCAATTTTCCCGCTTCCCCTGTAGTTAGTGCGTTCATTACAACTTCACTCGACGAGAGCCGTGGCCCGCCTAGCCGGTTCGACCCCATCCCTAGAAAACACACACTCACACCCACACACCCATACACTCGCCTACAAGCACACACACACACAGACCAACATACACCCCCCACACACACCCACACAAACACACACACACACAACCAAAACACACACACACACACAATGTGTGCACCGCGTAATTTGCCCGCCTTGCCTCCATTATTTCCGGCAGCCCGCCCTTTTTCTTCTTTCAATTATTTCACTTTAACTTTGTTATCGTTTGTCTGCGAGGCTGCCCCGCAACGGTGTGGAGCAGCGGCCCCGGCATGCTGGCCTCTGGTGGCCTCTGGGGCCGTCAGGCTGTGTTTTCAGTTCCAGGTGCGATGAAATAGAAAAACGAAACACATGATTAAAAATAGGGGTGGTTAACATTCTTTTTATTTGGTACAAGCTGGACTTCAAACACTACTGAGAGAGAGAGAGAGAGAGAGAGAGAGAGAGAGAGAGAGAGAGAGAGAGAGAGAGAGAGAGAGAGAGAGAGAGAGAGAGAGAGCGCTGCCTCTGTCGTCGCGGGACACCCCTTTTCCCTAAAGCAGCAAAAGCAGCAGGCTTTAACTTTGACAAAGTCCGCGCCGTGTCACTCGAGCCCCTCGTATCTTTTCCTCGTTTTGTCCACCTCATTTTCGGCGCGCAACCAAAAGAATCGCGTGTCGCGGCTTAATTAATTTAGCGTGCCCTGTTTACATGTTGTTTTCACCGTGTCCCACGCTTCCGTCCTTTTCCCCTTTATCGTGTGTCCCTGTCTCAGTTACTGTGCTTCATAAACAGGCGGGAAGAGCCAGGAACAGCAGTCTCCAGTTTAAGGAACACTGGTATTTCAGATGTGATAAGTCTCATACAAGACACTGCGATAAGTAGGCTAATGTTAAACATATTGCAACGTAAAAGTTAGATGCAATGAATTATTACATTTCCACCATCTCGTCACTTTTCAGGCGTGCCGACGGACTTTTTGATGGAATCCGCTAAGGCACTTCTTTCATGGCACTTTTAAGCAGTGTAGTTGTAGTGAATCCTTCTGTTCTTGGAGGGAGGATTCCCGATCACCTGCACTGGGAGCAGGGCACACGCACTGGGAGGCGGTCGGCAGCGCCTGTGCGAGGCTGGCGAGGCCATCTCCCACAAGTGTCGCGCGACGCGACGCAAGAGTGCCGTGCTCTTCTCCGCGCCGCGCGTCGCGAATGGCAGGTCGACGCCCAAGAAAGCCCCCTGGGGCCGACGACGTGACAGGCCGAAATCAACAATTTTTTCTGAATATTTTAAGTGATTCCTGTTGTCATTTTTGCGAGGTTTCGCGGTGGGGCGGCGACGAGGAAGCCCCCTAATGTGGTGCGTGCCCCCCCCCCCCCCCCCCCCCGGCGCGCCCCACCGCACCCCGCCACGCCTCGCCACGCCCCACCGCCAGGGCGTCTGCTCCTAATTTATTGGCAACATCAAACGCGCTTCCATAACGCGAGATTCCTCAAGCTCCCTTCTCCATTTCGTCTCTGTCGTTTTCTAGAGAAGGGGGGGGGGGCAGCGGTGTGATTTAACGACGCCCCCTCGGTGGATGTCCGTCGTGGAGGGGGAACGGAATGACGAGACGACCGCATGGCAGCTAAATGTGGAGCGGATGCTCCGTCACTATATTTTGTGGGCTTTTTCGTGCCGCTTACTCATATTTTGCGTGCGGTTTCTCACAAGCCAAGAGATTTCGTGTACTTTCGAGCCTCGTACGTCGGCCGGTCGTCGATAGAGACGTTCGACACTCCTCCCCCCTCCTCTGCCCCCCTCCCTGCAGTTAATCGCCGCCTGTTTCTCTTGCGGAGTGGCGCTGCTGTTGTCGCCGTGTTTCCGCCATCTGTCATCGCGTCGCGAGTCTGCGGCGCGGGACGGCCCGGGACCGCACAGTCGCCAAGTACTTTGAGCGCATTACTGGAGGTGGGGGCGGCCCGAGGGCGGCCAGGCCTCGTGCGCCTCGCGCCAGGCCTTCGACACTCTCATTGCTCCGTACCTTTTCCCAGCTTCCTGCGCCTTGTTTTTCTTGCTGTTATTGTGTCTGTTTGTTGAGAGAGAATGTGCGTGCGGTGGCTGGTTGAAGTAATACACTAATGGTGCCTAACATCGATGGTGATGATAATGATGATGATAATAATGATGATGATGTCGTCATCGTGACCAGTAGTTTGCGGATGGCTCCTGCAACGCGAGTCCGTCGAGGCACGCAGTCCGTTGCGGGAGGGGCGCTGCTGAGGCACGCCGCGGTACGCCCGCTCGTTTTGCTTATTTTATATTTACTTGCAAAGTGTGTTTTTGTTGCATTCCGCGGCCGAGGTGTCGCGTGCGTGGCGTCACCGTAACGTGGCCGCACCACCGCGGGGTGCCTGGCGGCCAGGCCCTGGCCCGGTGAAGCGCCGTGCGCCCTACACTCGCTGCTGTGCTCTGAGGACGGACCCGGCTCACTGCAACGGGTCCGTCCGGCTCTCCGTCCATCGGTCCGTCCGCCGGGAGGCCGCACTGGCGTCGCGTCGCGGCGCGTCGCGGGTCAGGGCGCGGCGCTTTGAGGCAAATCAACTTTGCATCGATGCATCCGGTCAGCAATGGCCGATCTACATAGCGCTTGGGTACAAAGTCCGATCTACAGAGCGCTCGTCTACAATGACTGATCTACATAGAACCGTTTTGAAAAGACCGATCTGTTTTTCAAAGCTATTTTTCCATCTCTGTCAAAGTTAAAATACAACGTCCAAAATGTTGTTTTAACCTTTATATCGAAGTATGCTTAGCATATTTTCTAATACAGAATGTTCCGAAATTTTACAAGTCGTACTTTAGGATTGACAGAGGTAGCAAAAAAGCTTTGAAATACAGATCGGTCTTTTCAAAATGGTTCCGTGTAGATCGGTCATTGTAGACGAGCGCTCTGTAGATCGGACTTTGTACTCAAGTGCTCTGTAGATCAGCCATTGCTGACCGGATGCATCGGCATGTTGTCGTCTGCTTGGGATGCGCAGCCGCACCGCCGCCAACTACGCCAATTTTTTCTCCTCCGAGAATATTAACGCGCGCCCTCCCCGCGGGACAAATTGAAATGGCAAGCAAAGGCACGGCCCGCCCCGCCCCGCCCGTTGCCCCCGCCCCCCACCCACGGCCCCCCGATCAGACGCGACGCCCCCATTTTCAGATTCGCATGCGAATTAGTTCGTAACCGGATGATTGCGCAATGCAAATTTGCTCAGCCTCGCGTTGTGCAAGCAAGGCAAGGAACATACCCCGCCGGTGTTTGAATTCCGGTTTTTCCCCTCCGCCGGCAACGCGGACGGAATAGCGCGATAACTGCCAGCCATCGAACGGCATCACACCAGTTCCGTCTTCTATGCGGATGTTACATTGCCGGTCGCTGAACCTCACGTGGCTGGCCCACGGCGAGGCCGCGAGGCCTCAGCCACGGATATCGGTCAGGGGAGCTTGGGTTGGGCTAAGTGCGAACGAGAATTAAATAAGGGATCCCGAAACCGACGGGAAAGAACATTCCCTGCACTCACGGCGTTTTTTAAGTTCCTCGTGATAATGTTCGAATTGGTGCTCTGTATTCATGACCCCGTTTTTTCGTGCGACATCTGCGGCGCTGCTGCGCAGCCGAGCGGCGCGTGGACGAAGCGCAGGACCGGCAGACGAAATCCAGTTTGTACATTAGCCGTCTTGTTCCACTGTTTGATGTAATTACACAAACCTCCCGGGCGGCGAAATACGCCATGGTTCCCTTGGCAGCGCGGGGCAAGCGGGCCAGACTCTCCGACGTGACGCTGTATGGGAAGATTTTAATTTGAAACGGAGCGAGTCCGCATTGACCGCCCGTTTCGTCCCTTTCCCCGACGCCAGCGTGACCAAGACTTGATTTGTTTCAACTCGGGGAGTGTTTACAGGTGCTCCAAGTGGAGGGGAAAAAAGGGGGAGGCACAAATTTCGTCTTCTCGAATTTCTTCTTACGAAAGTTTGCTGCTTTTGCTTGTCCTCCTTTTTGTTTTCGAAATGAAACGAGATAACTACTTGGTGGGACCAAGCCCGTGAAGAGTTCACCTGCTGCCGATCGGCGCCGTTTGCAGAAAGTGTCGTTTTGACTGATGGTCGATGCCGCTCTGCCCCGCTCGACGGGACTTTCTCATTACGGCCTCCGGGCGTGCGCGTGCGGCGTGTGCGTGCGTGCGGCGGGAAGGGCTGCTCTGCTGACCATTAGTCGGGGCTGCACTCTACGCCGCAATGATTTATCGTGTCCTTGGTTTCGCACTGGGTGTCCTGTGCCAGGACCGTCCGCACCTGTCGCTCATTCTGCCCCTTCACACGCGGCCCACACAGTCACGGCGGGGCAGCTATTTCCGTCGCCTCGTATTTATGAATGAAGCGACACAGGCCCGGCCTAAACGCAGGGCTCCCTGGCCAGCGAGCCGTGTGGACCGGCGGGACTGGGACTGCGAGCTGAATGCGAAGGGTTCTTTGTCTTTGTCACAGGCACAGCGCGTTCCGTTGAGGTGCGAGAGAGAAAGTGAGGAAGCGTCGGGTTTTCGGAATCGCCCGGCTGGTCGTCGCGCGCCGCGGATAACACGTCCAAAGGCAGCTGCGTGCTTTTGGGACCATCTCCCTTTCCCTTTCCTCACAGCGTGGGCGATTTTGTGACCCGTCAAAAGTGTCACCGTGTACCTGGAGCATTTTCATCTGACGCGCCGCCGTGCTGTGCCGCCGTGCTGTGCCGCCCACGCCGCCTGGCAGTAAGTGATGATGCCTCAGGGCGACTCGGCTCAGGAAGCTCTGGGGAGGGCCGCAGTTGGTCGTCTGGACAAAGTGGCGCGTTTTAGAACTACCATCAGGTCTATACAGCGGAGGCCTAAGGACTGCTTTGGATCGCTGGTGCTCCGACGCTGCTTTTAGAGAGTTCCAGTGAAACTAAGCGCACGGAAAGATCTCTGATATTAACTTTGAAAGCAATATTTCGCCCTCCATAGCACACGAAATGTGCGAGGGTGGCACTTATTTGCATGGGACAAACTCACCGTTTGTTTTTGTTTGTGACATTCGCGGAGAAGTGGCATCGGCCCGACAGAAAGCAGAGGGACCCAATATTTTGCCCTTTTTCGACAGCGCAATGCAATGCCCTTGGTTGTTGCCAACCGACTGGAGGTGGCCAGCGACCCGCTCCCCAGTCCGCCCCCGGTCCGCCCCCGGTCCGCCCCCCAGCGAGGCGTGGCCGAGACGCAACGACCGCCTCCAGATCCACCCTCGGCCACACCCTTCTGCCCCGCAATCCACCCTAACGTCCGACCAAGGGTTTCGGTGACAAAGTTAGTAGCGGACTGCAGGCCGGGCTTGGCCGGGGCGCGGCCGGGGTGGTCCACCGGGGAAAACGGGGCCAGAAGAAGGGAGAGGTACATGCTGGGGAGCAACAGCTGCTGACCATCCGACACCAAGCGCTCCCCCTCCCCCTCCAGATGACCGTCGTGGTGCAAAGTAGCGCTGGTTTCCATGCTGCATAGCAAACTTGTTCTCGGGGGGTGGCGGCTCTGGTGGCCCTGGCGACCATGGCGACGGCCCATGCGCCGCGACGCGCTGAGGGGGCGAGGCCGACCGCCGGAAGCGGGATGTGTCTTCCCTTCCATTGAGCTGCTTCCTCGCACCCAGGCCGCAGGGCCCCTGACCCTAATGCTGGGATTATTCAACAGCCAGCGAGGAAAACGAGTGGAAGCGCTTTGAACTGCGAATCAATCACCTTGCGGTGCAACGCAGCACTTTGGTGGCACTGTGCAGACTGCGGCGGTGCGGTGCGGTCGCCCCAAAGCCCCAGTCCGGCTGGGTCTGGGCGCAGTCCGGGCGCTGGTCCCGGCGCTGGTCCCGCAGTGGTCTCGGCCTCACTGATTTGCAAACGACCTAACTCTGCTTCGTGCCGCCACCCCCGCCCCCGCCTCCCTCGACACCCACGGCGCCGCGGACCCCATGGGCAGCCTCGCCGCAATTTATGGCCGCCATACCTGCCACAGATATTGCTGTTTTACATACTTCTTCGTGGCGGGCGGGTGCAGGTCTATGCCACTGGAAGCGGGCGGGCGCGGCGGCGGCGGCGTGGCGGGGAAAGACCTCCAAGGCGAAAAGCGTGCCAAATTCGCAGAAAACACTTCGCCCTGCCTGCGCCGCTTCGCCGCTGCGCCCTCACTCACCCCTTTTCCGCACACCGGCCGCCGCGCCAGCCGCCCCGGCCAGCTCGGCCAGCCCGGCCAAACTTTCGTCGAGTTTCCCCAAAGCAAGCAACGCCCTACAACGCCCTACAGCGTCGCCGTTCCTTCTTATCCGTTCCCTCGGCCAACGATTCCCCAAAATGTAGTTACAGGTAGAAGCCCTTAGTGTCACCAACACTGGTACTGTACATCGCCACTGCGATCTTCGCTCACTCGAGTGCCGAAAACTTGAAATGTTTCTGCACTGAAAGAAAAAGGACGTTCGGTCCCACGAAGTGGCTAAAATTGATGAACAAGAAAATTCTCTTCTTTTTTTTTCAGTGCAAGTGAGGTGAACGCTCAGGAGTCATGTGACTTTAGCACGATGCTCAAACTACAAAAACCAGGCGTTTTAATTTACTTTTTCCTTCGCCGCTGTTTTCACCCTTTTTTTCTTTGAGGTGCGTGAGAATGTGAAGCCTCCTAGGGAGCGGGACTGTGTCGGAACAGAATTCAGGGGCAACAGCGATTTGTGTCGTGCTGTCGTGGTCGGGGAGGGGGGAGGGCGGGGGAAGGGGGGGGGACTCGTGTAGGCAAAGTGCCAACGAATGAGCAAGGGGGACAGGCGTACGTTAACGCGGGTCACACAGTGAACGCGCCTGGTGTGTGTCTGGGTGAGAGAGAGAGAAAGAGGGCGGGGGATAGGTTTCGGGAGACGCGTGTGTCACGGCAGTATACAGGGGAAGCGCTCGCGGTGTGTGGTGGACCGTGAGTAGTAGAAACGTGGTCACACACACACACTCACAGAGTTACACACCCACACGCACGGTCGCCAACTCGCACACAGCCGGCCATCGCTCCCTCTCGGGCTGGGTCCCCATTCACAAACACCAGCGCCAACGTTGCACCGCCTTCCAGGGCGGTCAGGCACGGCCTGGACGTTCATTCTTCAGCGTACCTCTTTTCACTGCCAGTCACTCCTCTACTTGCGATTCAATTTAGAACAGATTCAAACAAGAATGCATTTTCAATACAATATTGCCTGTTGTGATAATATAACAGGCAATATTGCATGACGAGTTCTGCCCTTTTCAATAGTTTTCAGTTCCGCATTTCTATGTTCTGTGGAGATCGGTCGATGGGAGTTCGTGTCCCTCATCCGAAAAAAAAAACATGTCAAACGCGTCCTTCTAACTGCCATAACCTCTCTATTTTTAGCGAACGAAATGCACGACGGTCGGTGTGAGCTCAGGATAGGAGGGGGAACGGGGCGTTTTTTTACGTGTTGGCCTGGTATTTTTTTAAATCTTAGTCGGGCTTGTAAACGCATCGGCCTGGCACCGCGCCGAGTTTTGTCGTCAAGCTAACTGGCAGGGTCGCTGCGACTTGAAAGAAAGCTGCACCGGTTTGTAGCGTAGGCGTAGACGGCGGCCCCGTGCCGTGATCAGCTAATGGCAGAGGATCGAAAGTGCGAATCAGCAAACGTGTGGAGTTTGTCGACAGTTTGTCAGGGCGCGTCAGCTGCTTTCTGAGAATGAGGTGCTCATAAACCAACCACGTAACTTAGCAAGTCCATTTTCCCTTCAGCCTCAGCGAAACTCTTAAGATTCTACACACTTAAAACTCTACAAAGCTACAAAAACTCTTCGCAGCCTGCGAAGGATTTTTGCTTTGTATTACAAAGAAAATCGTTCGTATTACAAACGATTTCCTTCACAGGCTGCGAAGCCGCCGTTTTCTTCGTATTACGAAGAGCTGTTCTTTGTAGGAATTTATCTGTGTATCGACGACACGAGTGTTGACATGTTTCTCTCTTCTTCCCTTGACCGCTGCCTGACGCTGTCTCTCTTTCTGCTGCAGGTGCCAGCGGGCTGCGCGACGTGCACCTGCAGTCGCCGCTGGCCGTGAAGGCCGGCAGCACGGTGACGCTGCGCTGCACCTACGACCTGGAGCACGACAGCCTGTACACCGTCAAGTGGTACAAGGGCCGCTCCGAGTTCTTCCGCTACACGCCCAAGGAGCTGCCCAACACGCAGGTCTTCCCGCTCAACGGCATCAGCGTGGATGTGAGTCGGCACGCCCTCTCCCGATTCAGAATGGCGTTACGTCGCGCTGCCTCTCTCTCTCGCACTCACGGGACCCCTGGGAGGGTGCGAGAGGGACAGAGCGATGGAACAATGTTCGGCTGCTGTGCACACTGCGGGGCGCACGTGGCGCCGACAGGCCCGGGAAACAAATAGAATGACGACGCAGAGGTGCGCGGGGCGGCGGGACGGAGGGGTGGAAGGCTGACGAGCGCGATTCGATGCGTTACATTACGCAGCTTTTCCTCGTTGCCACGTCAAAAACACATGAATGAAACGAAAATTCCCACTCCAATATGACCCTTGGAAAGCGGCAAGCTTCAACGCGTCAGTGTCACTCCCGTTTGTCCAAACGACTGTCGTGGTAGGCTATTTCTTTGAAGAAGAAAAAAAAAGAAAAAGCGTCTATTGTTGTTTATCAAAGGTGTCCTATAAAAGTGCTGAAAATAATTTAATGCCGAGTCCGCGGTATTCCGACGTTGCATTACGATGCAGTGGCGCGGAAGGGCGCCGTAATGACTCGGCTTTATCTGTGAGCCGCGCCAGCAAATAATCCTTCTCGGTTTAAACGCAATATCACTTGCGCACTCGGCTCCCATTACGTCCCTGCCCGGCGTGAATAGGTCGCTTTTCTTTCCCAGCCCCCTCCCCCCGCTTCCGCCCCGCCCCGCCGCGCCGCAGGCCCCACAGGCAGAGCCCAGCCCGGCGCCAATATTTGGCCGGGCGGAGTCCATAATAGCCTGCATTAACGTTCTTTGCTTGAATGGGTTTGTGCTCCCGATGTAAGACAACGAGGTTGTGGGCGCTGAGTGCCCACGGGGCCGCCGGGCCGCCGCGGCGTTGCAAGAAGACGAGGGGCGAGTTTGCTGGAAGGGAGGGAGGCCGGGGAGCGGAGGGCTGCTGACGGCCTACTCTAATGTGGCGCTGAGACATTCGGCAAACAGATCATTGTCAACAGCGGAATGCGCGCCTGCTCCGAATCCACGAATCGAAGAGGCCGAAGACGCGCCGGCACTAGAAATAAATAATGGCGTTCCTCGCCAAGTCGGAATTAATTTTTCCGCAACGGCCTGATTAAACCTCTCTGCTGTCGACGGCGTCGTCCGACGGCCTCGCTGGCTGCCCCGTCTGTCCCGGCGCAAAAGGGAGGCAGGCGGGCTGGCAGCCCTCCTTCCAGTGCGGTGGCTCCGCTGGCAGCGCGGACTGGAGATTGAGATTACTGGTGGCATTTAACCTGAAGACGGGATTCGGCTGGAAGGGGTGGGGCGCCGCGGCGACAGGATATAACAATTATACAGCGCAACAGCCGCCTTGATGTGGTTTATGAGGTGAGAGAAAGAGCGCGGCTGAGATACAGCAACGCCGCGGCGAGGCGAGGCCGCAGAATGGCCGTGTTCAGCAACAACGCCAGTCCCGCGCGAGAATGGCCGTCGAGCACTGAGGATCAGCGAGGCCTGAAGAAGACAAAATAAGGGCGCAAAAGGGGGAGAAAAAAAAGGAGGGCAAGATAAAAGGCGAGACGAGATGAGGAAGACACTGGGAGCTGAAAAGATTTCTGGGCGCCATTTTGTGGCGGCATTGCCTAAACTGTCTGCGGATGAAGTTTCCGTAATGGGCTGCTGTTCCGTCATGCGGGGCACGCCAGCGCCGACAGCCTGGGACAGCCTCGCCGGCCTGCAACCGTGTCGCGCCACGCCGCCACGCCCCGATTTCGGCGTCGCCCACAGCGGTTCGCGGGGTTTGCGGGGCCTCCCGCACGGTCGCGGTGCGGGAATCGTGGACGCGGCCCCGCAAGGACGCGCTGCCGGCGCTGCCGTCGGGAACGGCAAATGCCAAGTGTGCCGGACGGCTGGACGGCCGGCTGGGAACGAGGGGCCCTGCGGATAACCTCCCGCTCTTATCGCCCTGCGCGGAATGACGGCCAGGCAAGGCAGGCGGCCCCCTGGCCGCCCCAGCCCGTCCGACGCACACCCTGCCTGCATGCACACTGGTGGCGACGCGTTAACCCGAATTAAAGCAAACATGGTTATACGCGGGCAGGGCTGCCACCGAGGCAGCCGGGGGCCCCAGGGAAAGGGTTTCGCACGACCCTTGATGCGATCCCGCTACAACAAGACACTGACCGCCAGCGAGTGGCGTGGCAGGGCCCGGCCCGAGGCCCGGCCAGGCCGGCCGTTCGGGCCCGACGGGTCGATGTTGCTTTCCAATAGCGGTGCTGGTTGTGGGCCGGCCGATCCCGCTGTTGGTTTAGGATAGTAAAAACGTTGCTTCGCCGTTGGTCATCTCCGCGCCTCTGTAATCTTGAGCGGCGCGAGTAATCGAATTCCCGGCAGCTGGAATGCTAGGTGGAAAGAAAAACCAAGTTGCCCGCAGGCGGCCAGGTGAAGAGCGCCTCATTCTCTGTCCCTCTCTCTCCTTTCCTCAAGCGGGAAACTTTTTCCCCGCTTTTTGCATTGGAGGGGACGGCGGCGGTGCGGAGAGGGCCAATCGAGGCGCTTCCAATTTGCTCCTTATTTTGATGCAATTAGCGGCAATCGCCGGACCGCATTTGGCGCGCCACTGGCGGACGCGCGGACGCCGACCTGCGGGCTGCGGCCGCCGTGGCCGAGTGCCGCCCGCAGTGGACGGACCAATACCGCGCCTCCCATTCGCCCCAACGGCGGCGGCAATTCGAAACCGAAAGTCAAACTCAATTTTTAAACTTGTCGGCGAGTTTGTCTTTGCCGCGCGCCCGCTGCCCTGACCCCTCCTCGCCTTCCCCGCAGCGCTTCCTGATCCACTCCAAACTGGGAGGAGCAAAAAACTTGGGCGAGGCTCAGGAAGGAGGCCGTCGCCGCCAGTCGCCGCCAGTCGCCGCAGCGCCAGCCGATGGAGCGACTCTTAATTAAATCAGCCCGAATTAAATATATCGGCGCCTCGCCGCGTCAGCAGAGTCAGCACTGCAAGGGCCAATCCGACCCCCCCCCCCCCCCCCCCCCGCCACCTGCCCGCCGCCCCCACCCCCACCCCCTCCACTCTCCCAACAGTGCCAACTAGTGCGATGGGATCTTGTCAAGCCATTGGAAAGAACAGACTGCGCTGAGTAAACGGCGGCGAGCACCGCGCGGCACTGCGTTGATATTGCCGCCCAACTTCGCCGTTAGCTCCGATAGTGCCGCGGATTTGCCTTGCCGCCGCCTGGCCGGGCTGGTCGGGCTGGCCGCGCTGGCCGGCAGCGCCACGCGCCCGGCGCCGCTGTGTCATCCCAAACTTTGATGAGCCGGAACAGCCGAATGGCTGATGATGATACCGTTTGCCGAGCGCTGCCGCGCCGCTGTGACGTTTCTGCATGGCGGCCCCGAGGGCCTTAAAATGCTATCTTGACCGTTACGTCGGTTATGAACTGGAGCAGATGCCCCTGGCAGTTAACGGGCACCGTAACGACCTGCCCCAGGTCCTGGCCGCGCGGCGCGGCACAGCACGGCACGCCTAACGGTGGGATAAATAGCAGACGTCCTGTCCAACTCGTGAACCAACTCGCGTCTTATCAACTGAAATATTGGCGGCCATCTTGTTTGCGGCTTGCTGCGACATCTGTCAGCGTGTATTCCTACCCCCCACCCCCCTCCGCGGGGCCTATTTCTATTCTAGGTGCCGCAGGTAGAAATTCCTATCCATCCTACGCGCCGCCGCACCCCGGAGGGGTTCTTTGACCCTCCCTGGGAGGGCAAAAAATTTGGGTGCGATAGGAGGAGGACTCGCCGGTGCCGCCAGTCCCCTGCGCGGGGTAGCGTAATTAATCAGCCCGAATTAAATATATCGGCGCTCGTCGCCTCGGTCAGCAGAGTCAGCACTGCAAGGGCCAATCCGACCCCCCCCCCCCCCGACCCCGCCCGCCAGTCCAACGCCCCCACCCCAGGCCTCCACTCTCCCAACAGTGCCAACTAGTGCGATGGGATCTTGTCAAGCCATTGGAAAGAACAGACTGCGCTGAGTAAACGGCGGCGAGCACCGCGCGGCACTGCGTTGATATTGCCGCCCAACTTCGCCGTTAGCTCCGATAGTGCCGCGGATTTGCCTTGCCCCCGGCCGGCTGGTCGGGCTGGCCGCGCTGGCCGGCAGCGCCACGCGCCCGGCGCCGCTGTGTCACCCCAAAACTTTGATGAGCCGGAACAGCCGAATGGCTGATGATGATACCGTTTCGACGTGCCGCGCCGCTGTGACGTTTCTGCATGGCGGCCCCGAGGCCTTAAAATGCTATCTTGACCGTTACGTCGGTTATGAACTGGAGCAGATGCCCCTGGCAGTTAACGGGCACCGTAACGACCTGCCCCAGGTCCTGGCCGCGCGGCGCGGCACAGCACGGCACGCCTAACGGTGGGATAAATAGCAGACGTCCTGTCCAACTCGTGAACCAACTCGCGTCTTATCAACTGAAATATTGGCGGCCATCTTGTTTGCGGCTTGCTGCGACATCTGTCAGCGTGTATTCCTACCTCAACCCCCCTCCGCTGCCATCTATTCTAGGTGCCGCAGGTAGAAATTCCTATCCATCCTACGCGCCGCCGCACCCCAGAGGGGTTCTTTGACCCTCCCGGTGGGCGAAACTAGTGCGCATAGCGGAGAATAAAGGTGTGCAATAGCTGCGTAGTAGCGTAATGTAGTCCTCCTTCTTCTCGTCGAACCATCGGTGCATAAAGAAAGGAAAGATTTCAGGTCAACTGGTGTGTTCAGGGAGTAAGGTAAACGACCGTAGATGATTGCTGGAACCAGGCCAGGATCCAACGCCTCCACGACAGCCAGGGCGCGTCGCGCGTCCGCCAGACTCCCCGCCAGGGTGAAGGACCAAGAGCCAAAGGAAGAAGCAGGCTCGGCCCGCAGGCCAGGCAGGCCAGGCAGGCCAGGCAGGCCGACAGCCCCTCCAAATAATTAAACCGTCCATTTCCTGCTGGAAGTCGGAGCGGAAGCGAGCGGCGTTCGTCGGGAACGTCTCCGGCGAGGAGGGCAGGTGCGAGTTGTTTTGGCCGTGTTTGTGGCGGCGCTGGGTGGGGTGGGGCCGAGGGTGGGGCGCCCCGGGGCCGCAGCGGTTTCTTCAGTCCAATCCCTGCATTTTGGTTATTTTGGCCATCCTCGGCGTTCCGGGTATTTCGGGGTGGAGTGGCGGGGGCAGGGCGGGGCGGTGCGGGGCCGCCGCTGCGCTATGTGGAAACGTCGTTGCGATATTTCACTTGGGAGGCAGCGGGATTGGACGCGGGGGGCAGACGGCCGCCGGATTTTTGAAAGGCGGAGGTTGAGACGCAGAGCCGGAATCCCCCCTCCCCCCGCCTAACGCGGATTCAATGCCGCCTCTTCTGCATCCCCTGCATCTTCTCGGGCCACTTCCGCCGTTCCCGGCCCGCGTCCGGCAGCGCGTCGCTCCGTCTCTCTCGCACTCGTGGGGCGTTCCGTGAGGTGTGCGAGAGAGACGGACCGACGAGAGCGCTTCGGAACGGAGCTGCCCAGTGCGGGTGGCGTTTACTGGCAAAGGCCTTCGCACGCAGCCCCGGGGCTGGAGGTGGCAGGGCTCCGGCACACTGCCGAGTCAGCTACCTTAAAGTAAGGCACGGCGTGCACGCGGCTGCAGCTGGGCGCGGGGAAGGGGCAGGGGCGTTTACGCGTGGCGATGTCCCGGCGCTGAGCCTCTTGGGTGAGAGTGGCCGCCGTGGCGCGCCGTGGCGATCCGTCCGCGAGGCGCTGGCGGAGTGTCGCCGCGGCTTTCTCTTTTCAAAACCCGAGGAGGGAGCTCTGATCGCTGACTCGCTGCCGCCGTTCGCGAGATCCGTCTTGCTCTTTAGCCGCCATTGGCCATCGAGTGCTGCCCCACTGTGAGAACCAAAGCAGCGGGTGAGTCGAGCAACTCGGCAATGAAAAGACGGGGAGTTGGTCAGAGACGCTCCGACCTTGTCGTCAGAGCGCAGGCGAGATGGCGCGTAAGTGGTTCAGCATCCCCTTTCGGTCCTCTGGCGAGCTCAGCGGTCTGTGTGCGGCCGGTGCCGCTCTCCACAAGCCGCGAGTGCCCCGCCAAGCTGACTGTTCCATCGCCGCCCCGCGACCCGTCTTTCGACGTGTATCTCTCCTTGCCGAGCGCGTTGCCGCGTTGTCAGGGGCGAGGCGAGCGCCGACCGCGGCGGCGGCGGCGAATGTTTTGCGAAACTAGTTTCGCCAAACAATTAGTGTAGCGACAACAAACGTCTCGTGTTTGCAAGGCTGTGCATATCAGGATGAGCCTGCCCGCCGACACATCACCCCGTGTGTTGTTGTGGAAGTTGCGGCCCCTGCTCCCCTCGCCGCGCCGCGGTTTAAATTACCGACAAAGGTTTGGCGCGGCGAGGGGCCGGGCTGTTGGGTTCAGGAGGGATCGGGCAGGCCGTGAGAAAGAGACAAAAGTGCAGCGCTGCTGCAGGAGTTTTCAGCCGCACCTTCCACCTGAAGGCCAGCGGCCCCGCCCTGGCCGCGTCAGACGGCTGCAGCAGCCGTTTGTGTAGGCGCCTACACTGCCGGGAAATGGCGAGGCGTGTACGTCCCAAGTGTTACACGGGCACTCCCCTTCCCCCGGTGCTCCGGCCAATACGCGCGCCGGACCGTTATTTACGGTGGAGACCTGGCCGTGCCGTGCCGTGCCGTGCCATGCCGTGGCGGGATTGGAAATGCGTGCGAGGCCCACTGTGTAACGCTCTTTATTAAAAGCCATAAAAAGACTGGCGAGGCCGGGCGAGGCGGCGAGGCCTTGGCTGCGGTGGCCGAGGCATCCGAGTGATGTGGCGGACTGCAGCAGCGGCAGTGCGGGGCGGGGCGGGGCGGGGCGGGGCGGGGCGGGGCGAGGCGAGGCGGCGGTCAGAGGGCTGCAAAGGAATCTGCCGCGAGCACGCACCCTGCCTTGTGGCGGCTGGACTTTGCTGGCCTTTCGTGCCATGCCCGCCCCGCCCGCCCGCCACGCCCGCCCCGCCACGCCCCGCCCCGCCACGCCCCGCCCCGCCGCGCCGCGCCACCCTTCGGCGCGCAGCGCAGCGCCATGCCGCGTCGGCCACGCCGGGCCACGCCACCCGCTGTTGCGGAACTATATACTTTGCACCTTTACGAGGGGGCAGGCCGGCCAGGCAAAATAGCGAGTTCTGTCTGGAAATATGCGCTGTTCCGGCGCAGACCTCGCTAAGCCTTTGTACTTTAGCACGTTACCGCCGCGGCGCGCACCGAGCTTGTTCATGCCCCTTTACGATTTCGCACCAAATTCCCAGAAATTAAATTCTTTCTGCCGGCCTTTCCAGCCCTGCACCGCGCGCCACTTGCCGGCAGCACTTACCGTCCGACCTCGTTCTGTTTGCAGGTGCACAACTCGAACAGCAACCAGGTGGTGCTCAACAACGCGCAGGTGCCCATCACCGGGAAGTACCGCTGCGAGGTGTCCGCCGACGCGCCTTCCTTCCAGACGCTGATGGCCTCCAGTACGCTGCGTGTCGTGGGTGAGTCCAAGTCGTCCAGCCTCGGTCCGAGCTCGGTCCGAGCGCTGCTGGTGTCGCGCCGTTTTATCCGTCGCGTTTACCGCCGGCTGTAACACGGCCCTGTCCTTGACGGCGGCGCGGTGCAGTGCCTTGCAGTGCCGTGCCCTCGGGGCTGCGAGCGTGGCCACCCCACCGCCTGCAGGCTGCCCGCAGCACCGGCCGCTCACTTCAATCCGACCCCCCCGAGCAGACAGGGAGCCGCAAGGTCCATGGCACACTTCTTATCGCCACTACCGGGTCTCTGGCTGCACCTATCGATAAGTTTTTCTCCACACGTAAACCCCGGCCTTTCGGGTTTCTTTTTTCGTTTTTTCTTTGGTAAACAGCACACGGTACTGCCTGGCAAGTCACTTTCTTGACCACCGCAAAAGGCGAAACGACATGAAAGGTGGACTTTGCAGTGGGAGGGTTAACGCGCTGCTTTTCGCCCTCCAGCGCGTGGACCGAATCTTCTGCTTAGCCAAACTCTGCCCTGCCCAGCCTCTTTTCTTCGCATCACCTCCCGGCCTCTCCCACGTTCCCCGCCTTTTTTTGTGCCGACGTTTTTTTCCCTCCCCTGGGGACGCGCTGGGACGCGCTGGGCCGGCCGGTGCGCTCGGCATAGAACCACCTGTTCCGCTGCGCTGCCTCGGCGCTGCTCGGCGCTGCGGGCTGGATCTCGGCCTGCAGGGCCTGCAGGGGGATCGCGGGCTGGCCGCACGGCCGCGCGATAAGCTGCCGGGTGGACGGCCTGCCGGACTCGCCTGCCAGCGTCGCCGCGTCGCCGCCCGAATCAGTGTGAATAAGTAAAGGCGGAGGTGGCAACCCTAGCCCCGCCCGGCGCAGCCGCAGCCCGGCAACGGCCGACGCGTGCCTCGCCCTGTCGCTGTCGCACTGCCCCTGCGGCTGGACCGTGTCCTGCGGCCACACTGAAGGCGCTTTCGAGAACGCCGTCTTGTCGCTCTGTCTCTCTCTGACCCGAACGGGACGCCCCGTGAGTGCGAGGGAGACGAAGGCGGTGCGGCGTTGAGTGCGCTCCGTGCTGCACCGGCCGAGCCTGGTCAACAAGGCCGCCTCCGTGTTTGTCTCTTCACGCGGAAGACCGGGCAGCGCCGCCACCAACTTGCCGAAAGGGACGCTCAAATATTGACAGTGTAGCAGCGGGAGGGGCCCTGGCCGCCCTGGCCGCCCTCGCCGCCCTGGCCATCTGCTGGCTGGCTCGGTCGCTTCGTCCCCGGGAGTTGGTCCACCTGAGTTTGACTTGCCAACTCCAGGAATCTCCCTGACCCCTGCCGCTGGCGCGGGGCGTCGGGGCGTCGGGGCGGGGCGGAGAGAGGTGAGGCGGGGTGGGGCTGGCGGGGTGCGGCGGGGTGCGGCGGCTCCTTTGCTGACCATGCCCCTTGCTGCAGCGCGCGGCCCGGGCCAGCAGCGCCCCGCCCCGCCCCACCGCGCCTACCGGTGATTGCCGGAAATAGAGTGTCGCCGCCACAAAGCCACCCCCTCCCTCCGCCAGCCAGCCGGCCAGCCACCCTCGACCCCTTGACGTGTCATCCCAGTCCCGCGTGCTTCCGGCGCGTCCCCGGGCAGCGCGAGGGCGGGGAGATGAACTAGCCGTCTAATCAAGAACAAAACGATCGCTGTTGAAAACAAACTGAGAAAACCGTCACACAAAACCTCACTTTATTTCCTGTTTCGGTTGAAAGGTTTCCATTCGTTTACAATGCTTGCGGAGAACTTTGCGACAGCGGTTCGTGTGAGCCAAAGTTTGGGCCGCGTGTTTGGGCGTTGACCGGTCGACCCTTCCCTCCCCTCCTCCGGGCAGGGCCCTCGCCGCTCGCGGCACTGTGCGCTGGTGATATTACTGGTCCGCTGCTCTGCTCGGCTGGACGGCCCTTGATGATAATATTCGAAATGAAGAGACTTCTTGGCGGCGCGCCGGCGTCGGGAAAGGCGGCGGCGGTCCTTTTCACTCGGAACACTACACTGCGCGCGCCAATGTCCGTCTCCTCTCGCGAGAGCTGCCTCGCCCGTCTCGCCCGATCGCATTCCCATTTCCTACGGCCGTCGCCTCTCTCTCTCTCTCTCTCTCTCTCTCTCTCTCTCTCTCTCTCTCTCTCTCTCTCTCTCTCTCTCTCTCTCTCTCTCTCTCTCTCGGCCTCCGCGTCGCTCGCTTTTCTTTCCGTTGTCTTCCCCGTTCGGTGTCGGCATCAAGTGGAGGCCGAGCCACTCGGGCCACTCGGCTTAAAATCGGGCCGCGCCGTTCCCCTGCGACGCTGACGGTAATCTGATATAAGCCGGGCGCGCAAGGACATCCGAAACCCACTTTTTATTTCCTCGGCCTCTTGTTTCGCGAGCCATATTTGCAGTTTGGCATTGAATAAATACGGAAAGAACGGAATAGGGGCTCAACATAACTCTGTCGGCAGTCACCCACTGCTCCAGTCACGGTTTAACATGCTTGCGCAGTGTATCGGCCCGTTGCTCCGAACACAATAATTGTTTTATCCGCCCCGCCTAGGAGGGCGCTGCCGCGGCATGCTGGCGCTGCCTCCACTCCCCTCCACTCCCCTCCACTCCCCTCCACTCCCCTCCACTCCCCTCCACTCCCCTCCACTCCCCTCGCGCCCCGGAATGTTCGTTCCTCCCGTCTTTTCGTCGAACACGGTTGGGCAGCCTTGCGTGTGTAAGTGGCGGGCGTCGAAGCTTGAAAACATCAGTTCGTGAGCGCGCGTGTGTGTGTGCGTTCTGTGTGTGCGTGTGTGTGTGAGGGGGGGGGGGCACTGTGGGTGAGGCGCTTGAGAGAGAGGGGAGTCTTTCCGTGGGGAATTCCCGCGCGAGTGCCCGAAAGTCAAACGCACTCCCTGCGTGGTGCACTTGCAGCTGCGGTGCGCTGCGCAAGGACCGACGGGCTGCGTTTCATCTTGCTTGACTGCCCTTGAGCAAAGGCACCCTACCCTTAATGGCTTAGTGTGCGTGTGCATGTGTGGAGAGGGAGAGAGAGAGAGAGAGAGAGACAGAGAGAGAGAGAGAGAGAGAGATGAGAGACAGAGAGGTTTCTTTGAAAGAAGCAGCGTTAAAGCCATGGACGCGTCGTTGGGGACACCATTAGCTTGACCCGGGCCGTCCCGTGCCTGCGTCGGCTGACTCCGTCGCCCCGCACCCAGCCACCCTGCCTTGACGAGCTCATCAACTAAGCGCCTGCGATTCTAATATGACGGATATCCACAGTAGCGGCCTGATAACCCCTCTGGGGTAGAGGGAGCGAGGGGGGAGGAGGCGGTGGAGAAGGGGAGGGGGTTCTAGACGGCTGCCCTGTCAGCTAGTTTATTGATGCCTCCCTGTGACCGCAACGCACTGGGACACCGCATCGGAGGTGCAAGCGCCCTGGGCGTGCTGGCGGGGCTGGCGGGGCTGGCGGGGCTGGCGGGGCTGGCGGGGCTGGCGGGGCTGGCCGCACAACCCCGGCCGCCCCCACCGCTGCCGTTTCACGCGACAATTTGTGGTCGGCTGGACAGGTCACGCGTCCCACACGCCGCATCCGTTTAGACTGCGGGCAAACAAACAAAAACAAAAACCATCGAGTGAGAAGGTCCAGCCCACGCGCGCGCGCGTGTTGTTGTTTTTGTTGTTTTGGTGGGCATCTTGGAGTTTGCTGCTTTCTTTTTGGTATACAGGACGGACTACTATAAGTGCGTGACGCGGCGTCAAAGTGGAAGGGAAAGTATTACACTGTGATACTTTGATTTAATTTTCCAGTCGAGCACCGCGCCACACCGCCCCCCACCCCTGCTGGTCCGAGGCGAGGACGTGGCTTAACAGGATTAGGGGCGGGGACCTGCTCGCCAAGTTTGCTGTCGGGAGGTGTCGTGCGGTGTGGCCTGGCGTGGCGGGCGGGGCGGGGCGGGGCGGGGTCTGGCCTGCTGGTCCGACAGCCAGATGGATGGGTGGATGCCACCCGCTTTGCCGCCTCGTCCAGCAACTTCTTGAACGCGTCCTTTTGGCCGGCCGCTTCGGGACGGACCGCTGGACGCTGGGAATCGAACTGGAGCCCGAACGCCCCGCGACCTTGTTCTGCGGAAAATGAGACAGATCCGGTGGCGGGAACTGGATCTGCGGGCCTGAGCGGAATATCCGGTCGCAAAGACGGGTCCCGGCCCGGCCCGGCCGGTGCCGGCGGGTCCCGGTGCCTTCACTGGCTGGGGCAGAGGCCGGGCAGGGCCGGGCAGGCACCCCCAAAGCGTTTCATTACGAGCACCACCCTAATAGATCAAAGGCGGCCCGCGTTTGCAACTTAAGGGGTTCTCGAAGGATCCTGCCGGTTCTGGCCTCTGGTCCGACAGCCAGATGGATGGGTGGATGCCGCCCGCTTTGCCGCCTCGTCCAGCAACTTCTTGAACGCGTCCTTTGCGGCGCTTCGGGATGGACCGCTGGAGCTGAATCCAAACTGGAAGCTGAACGCCGCGACCTTGTTCTGCGGAAAAATGGACAGAATCGGTGGCGGGAACTGGATCGCGGCATGAGCGGAATATCCGGTCGCAAAGACGGGTCCTGTAAAGGCCAACAGTGCCGGTGGTCGGGTGGGCCCGCAACTGGCTGGCCAGCGCGGGCAGGGCCGGCAGACCCCAAAGCGTTCCATACGAGCACACCCTAATGATCATGCGGTCGCGTTTGACTTAAGGGGTTCTCGAAGGATCCTGCCGACTTTCCAGACAACGGCATCCTTGGATCGACTGCCTTGGGGTGGACGCCGGCCACATGAAAGGCTCTGCCGCCCCCGCCGCCCCCGCCGCCTTCGCCCCGCCCTCGCCTCTTCCGGAGCCAGACCCGCTTGGCGAACTAGCAGACACACGGCGATGTGACTGCAGTCTGCGGCGCACCGCGCTCACGCCGAGGCTCACGCCGATGCCCCGGAGTTGGTTGGAGTGACCGAAGCCGGGCAAGAGCGTGCCCGAGGGGGTAACCACTCGCGTAATACCCTGTAC